GACTTTACATCTAACAATGACAGGTGTGTTTGAGTTTTCCCCATAAGCCTAAAGCATATCTCTTAGTCCTAGAACATTTTCTTTATCTCAACTCCTGATCTTTCTCAGTTTTTCAGGGAAACCCAAGATTCTTACTATGTCCCTCTAACTTGATAGGAATCAAATTCTAAATTCTTAACCTGTTCTCATGGGCACAAGCTGGGGGTCTCAGCTCAGATCCTTCAGCCTCCCAGCTGTTGCTTTCTATTGAAATTCTCAAAGTCTCCCCTTAATATATGTCATTTTGGGGTTAGCTATGGATTTGAGAGGAATTTATATGTGTTTTCTGAGACTTCTTCCTTTTCCTATTCTTATCTTTCTGGGATTTCCCTTCTCAGTTGCCAGCTCTGGTAGTTCAAAACTCTGTCCTTTGATATCACAAACCAGGAGAGTACAGCTTTTGAATTGCATTTTGTTCACTTTGCACTGAGTAGACTAGTGAATCTTCCAGGAGAAAAACACACAAACTCTCATTTCACCTGGTATAGTTCTTTTGTTGTTGTTTGTTTTATGAGAAAGGGTCTCACCATGTAGACCAGGTTGGCCTTGAACTCACTGAGATTCATCTGCCTCTGCTTCCTGAATGCTGTGATTAAAAGTGTGTGACACCATATGCCACCCCAGTGTAGTTCTTTTTCAAAATCTCACCACCCCCTCAAAATTCTCCCTATTTTTTCCATCTTCAGTGCCTCACATAGTTTCAGAATGTTTTGTCATAGTTAATAGTTATTATCTACAGGAAAGTTAATTTGGTGTAACACATTTCTACCATTATTGGAACCAGAAGACTTTCCCCGCCTTAAAAGTTTTTTTTAAACATTTTCTTTTTATTTATGTATTTGTGTGAGTGAGTATATGCTATGTATATGCTAGTGCTCCTGGAAGCCAGAAGAAGGAGTTGGTTCCCCTAGAGTTGTAGTTATAGGTGATTTTAAGCCATCAAACACGGATGCTGGGAACCAAACTCAAATCCTTTGGAAGAGCAGCAAGTACTCTTAACTGCTGAACCATTTATCCAGCCCCCTTTATACCTTTCTTTATTAGACAAGGTTTCACAGTGTAGCTCAAGCTAACCTAGAACTTTCAGTCCTCCTGCCTTGGCCTCCCAAGTGCTGGGATTATAGGCATGGACCATCATTCCTGTCAAAACTAGAAGTCTTTGCCTCAAAGTTTTGTTTTGTTTTATTCAGTAAGTATTTTTAATAAATTTTATAAAAAATACTTTGAATGTATACTGAAATAATTTCAAATTAAATGATAGGTAAATAGTACAATAAAGAAAATGTTTTAGGAGCTGAAAAGATGACTCAAATGGTTAAGAACACATTATTCTTTCAGAGGATCCAAGTTTGGTTCTCAGCACCCATGTCAGACAACTCATAACTGCCTGCAACTCCAGCCAATGTCTCTGGCCACCTTGGATACCTGTACTTGTGTGTACATACCTACCACACAGACATAAACATATGCACATAATTTTAAAAGAAAATAACATCTTTTTTAAAAAAAGTATTTCAACTTATTTAAAAGAAAACTAATTTCAGGGCTGGAGAGATGGCTCAGCAGTTAACAGCACTGGCTGCTCCCATGTGGCAACTAACCATCTGTAACTCCAGTTCCAGGGGATCCTACACCCTCTTCTGGCCTCCATAGGTGTTATATATATATATGGTACAATTACATGCATGCAAACACAACACTCATACACTTTTTTTTTTTTTTTTTTTTTTTTTTTTTTTGGTCTCCCTGTAGCCCCAGCTGTCCTGGAACTCACTATGTAGACCAGGCTGGCCATGGAGACCAGGCTGGCCTCGAACTCACAGAGATCCACCTGCCTCTGCCTCCCAAGTGCTAGGACTAAAGGCATGCATCACCATGTCTGTCATACACATTTTTTTAAAAAAACTAATTTTGTAATATTGATAGGGAGCTATGTATCTCCATTAATCTATCAATATCTCTCTCCCTCTCCCCCCAACTCCCAGTTTCTACATACACAAATTCACACACTGGTGTCTCACTGTGTTACCTGACTGGGAAGAGCTCAAGCAGTCCTCCCACCTCAGCCTCTCAATTAACTGCAGATGGAAAAAAAAAAAATTAGTTTTTCCACCAGCTTTCTTTACAAATGAGGATAGTTGGCCAAAAGTAAATTTTAAAATTTCTGTGTATTTATACTGATGTAAATAAATAAATAAGTGTGGGAAGATACCACACCTTTCTGCTATAGAAGGATTTCAGTGAATAAAAGTGTAGAAGAAAAGAATAAAATAGCCTTTAGGGGGGCTGGAGAGATGGCTCAGCTGTTAAGAGCACTGGACTGCTCTTGCAAAGGACCCGGGTTTGATTCTCAGCACCCACATCGGCTACAAACCATCCTTAACTCCAGTTCCAGGGGAATCCGACACTCTCTTCTGACCTCTGCGGCATTGCACGACACAGGTGCACTCACATACATGCAGGCAATACACTCATACACATAAAATTTTTAAAAATACAATAAAAAAGTAATAACCTTTAGAACACTACAATAAAAATTACCATAGGCAAAGTCCATCAATATATGCCAGAATTAGCAGGCAAAATTTGAAGTAGAATCTATTTGCTTAATCTCAGTATTTCCTCTGATATACTTAGCAATTCTGAAAGGAGAAAAATAATACATCTACTACAGAGATTTTAATTTAAAATTTTGACCAAATGGGGGCTAGAGAGATTGTTCAGTGGTTAAGGAGGCCATACTGCTCTCCAGAGGACCAAAGTTCAGTTTCTAGTACCCATGTTGGGCAGCTCACAACTGCTTGTATGAAACTCCAGCTCCAGGGAATCAGATATCTACTTCTCTGTGATCACTCTACTCATATGAATAGTGCCCTCCCCCACATACACATGTTTAAAAATAAATAATATAAAAAAAAGTTTCCTGGCCTCAACTTGCCATCCTCCTGCTTCAGCCTCTTTGGGGGTGGGTTTGTAGGTATATCCTACCATACCTGGATCCAAATTAACTTACTTTATGGAATGTTTTGTTGTTGGAACTTTTTGATATTTTGTTGTAGTGCTGGGGATTGAACCTGTGGCCTCATACATGCTAGGTAAGTGAATATACTACCACTGAGCTAAGTCTGCAGTCCCAGTTCCTTAGTTTTGACAAATGTTCTCTATGATAGCATCATAGGGAGAAGCTGGCTTTAGGGAATATAGAAAAGCTATAACTTCTGTAAATCTAGAAATGATCTTAATTTTTTTAAAGATATTTTATTTTTATTTTATGTGTATGCATGTATTGCCTGAGTGTAGGTAAGTGCACCCATGTCGTGCAATGCCCAAGGAGGACAAAAGAGGCTGTCAGAGCCTGTAGAACTGAAGTTAGGACAGTTGTTAGCTGCCATGTGGGTGCTGGGTTCTTCTGCAAGAACAACCAGTGTTCTTAACTGCTGAGCCATCTCTCCAGCCCCAAAATGATCTTAATTTATAAGAGGTTTCAAAAAATTAGCTATGAGATTGTGACTTAACATTTTTTACCTTATTTCCAACACAAATATTTATATTAGTTCTTAAAGACATCAATATCAACTGGAGATATGCTTTAGCAAGTCCTCCAGTGATTTCAAAGCACCTGAAAGTTTGCAGACAATGATCTGTCTTCTCAGTCTCAATGAACTTGAGACTCAAAGAACACTCAGAAGACTGAGGCCAAAGGATTGCTGCAAGTTCAAGGTCATCTTGGAATCATGACACCTGCCAAAAAAAGAGAATACCAAACTGACCACAACAAAAGGCTAAAAAGAAAAAACATTTTTCTAGTATATTGGCCAGTTATTAATAATGCATTTCCTTGACATAAAGACTGTAATATAACCAGTATTTTTAATCTATTTCCCATAGTTCCAATTTTATCCTTATTAGACTACCAGGTATACTTAAGAGCTACTTCCCTCTCTCTCTCTCTCCCTCTCTCTTTCCCTCTCCCTCTCCTTCCTCACTCCCCCTCCTGTCGCTCAATAAGGTCTAATTGTGTATTCCAGGGTGGCCTCAAATTTATTATGTAGAGTTGTCTCAGCCTCCCAAGTGCCAGGATTATGGGAGCATGCCACCACACCTGGCTAATAATTGCTGTTTTAAAAAGAACTTAAGTTCCTAAATTCTGCATTTATTTTATTTTTTATTTGGGATACTATGTAGCCCAGGTTAGCTTCAAATTTGCAGTCCTCCCTCTTTAGCCTCTGTAGTGCTGGGATTATACCATTCCTAGCTAAAGTTTGCATCTTAAAAATGCTATATAGGGGCTAGAGAGATGGCTCATTGTTTAAGAGCAGTGGCTGCTCTTGCAGAGAATCCGGATTCAGTTCCCAGCACCCACATGGTGGCTAACAACTGTCTTAAACTCTAGTTCTAAGGAATCTGACTCCCTCTTCTGACCTCTGAGGTCATTGTACACATGTGATACACTTACATACATGCAGGAAAAACACTCATAAACATAAAAATAAATCCAGGGAGGCAAAGGCAGGTGGATCTCTGTGAGATCCAGGCCAGCCTGGTCTACATAGTGAGTTCATGCCAACTGGGGCTGCAGGGAAACCCTGTCTCAAAAACGACAAAATAAAATTAATAAATCCAAAGAAAATTTTTAAGCTCCTTCACAGTGAAACAAAGGACAAATGGCTCTGAGGGAGCTTTAAAGGGAGCACTATATAACCAATCCTCCATCTTCCATACATACAGTGAATTCACTGCTCCCATACTTGTTCATGGGCGTACATACCATTGGCTTTTATGGACTCTCTCTATACTTTCTCCTCTGTACCTTGATCCATCAGTTCCTGTAAATCTGGAATTTAGAATTAGAATCTATTGTATGTTGGTTTTGAGGTATAGAACAGAAATTGACAGCTATATATGTCAGTATTTCAGTATCTAAAAAAAACTAAATTTTTTCTTGAAAATTATCTTTACAGACTTACAGCAGCTGTGCCAGGCTCTGCTTAACCCAAGAAACAGTATGTCTAGCAAGCACTGCTATGAAGACTGAAAATTGCGTGGCCAAAGTAAGTAATACTGTTCACCAATTGATAAACCACATCATAACAATACTATATCTGCAGGCATCTTTACTCAATATTACGTCTAAAGACTATTACAGCGTTATATATTTAAGAAAAGAATATACACAGACATTTTATACAGAGCTGATTGCAAGTGGGACTGTCTCTTTAGTTGCAGCAAAGTCTTCTGATTATTCCATATTTGTTGCTTGAAACTAGTTATAGATTATCACAGATCAGTAAAATTTGTATACGATAATAAACTTGGCATATGCCTTTACTCCCCACACTTGGCAGGGTAGAGGCAGGCAGATCTCTTGAGAGTCTGAGGCCAACCAAAGCTACATAGTAAGACCATGTTTAAAACAACACAAGACCAAAAAACACCCAACAAGATTTATATAAGATAATGAACAAGGGGCTGGAGAGATGGCACAGCAGTTAAGATCACTGGCTGCTGTTGCAGAGGACCCAGGTTTCGTTCCCAGCACCCACATGGTACTTAACTTGAAACTCTTCCATTTCCAGGGATCCCATCCCTTCTTCTGGCCTCCACAGGCATTTGCACCCACATGGTGCACTTTACATACATACATACATGCAAAACACTCATGCTCATAAAATAAAATTAAAAAAAATAAAAATAAAAAGTTTATTATCTTTTTAAAAAGTTCCTTCATAGTTTTTAAGTGCAAATATAGAATACCTAAAATACGCAGAGAGGGATGACAGTGAAAGGAGTGTGAAATATACTACGGAAAGCCTGTTGTTACCGAGTTTGCTAATGTTAAGAAATGTTGTAGTAGATGATTTTGAGTGGTAAAGTGTATTTAGCTATCCATATGGGCTAGCTCTTTCATAGATAAATGTGTACTATATCTGTAGATACAAAACTATTAAAAATCAGAAATCTGAAGTTTTTTTATGACTCAAGTTTTCTAGATAGATAGGTTTTGTTTGTTGTTGAGTTTTTTTGGTTTTTGTTTTGTTTTGTTTGAGACAGGTCTTCCTGTAGCTCCAGCTGGCCTGGAGCTCACTTATCTCAGGAGTAATATTCATTATGGGCTGTGTTTCTAGACTTTTACTTCGTTTATCTGTGAAAAGAATACTTTATTACCATTTAAGATTTTTTTCAGTTTTACAACTTTCAGTTTTATCTGTTGTCTCATATACTCAGGCCCTTATTTACTGTCATCATTAGAGACAGGACTCTGTCATGTAGTCTCCATCTTTGTTACAAAATTCAAGAATTGTTTTGCTCCTTTTAGGCTACTACAACAAAATACCATAGCCAGGCATGGTGGCGCATGTCTTTAATCCGCGCACTTGGGAGGCAGAGACAGGTGGATCTCTGTGAGTTCAAGGCCAGCCTGGTCTACATAGGGAGAAACAAAAAACAAACAAACAAACAAACAAAAATACCTTAAACCAGATGACTCAGAAACAGCAGTAACTTATTTCTTATAGTTCTAGAGGCTGGGAAGAGCAAGATGCCAGCAGATTGACTTGTCTCCTCGAAGGGTCACGCTGCTCCATAGATTGAACATTCTTGCTATAGTCTCACAATGGATAGGACTAGGACTAGCCATGTTCTGTTTCCTAAAACACATAGAAATCTCTGATCCTATTTTATTATCTGAAAATATATAGCACATAACCATTGGAATTAGTCATGTAAGAAATGCCAGAATTATTTAAAATTATATTTACCAAAGATAAATTCATCAGTTCTATCTTAAATTAGTGTCTGAATTTGCTAGAAAATGTAAGGATTAATATAAATTACACTTAATTTTCCAGCTGCTTTACTTAGTCACAATTAGCAAGTGCTAATTGACTCTGTTTTATATCTAGCATTGATGTGTGGCGAAAGGTATAAATATGTATATGTATATATATATATATATATATGTGTGTGTGTATGTGTTCCTCCTTTTTTGGCCTTGTTGCTCTCACTTTGATCACAAGTGGGTGACTTCTGGCTAAACAAGGCAAAAATCTTAGCATGAGCACAAATCCAAGGACAGGGTGACAATTTTAATGCGTTTCATTGAGAGCTGGCCAAGTGAGCATCTGTTCCTTTGTTTTCCCATACTTGGGTGAGCCAGTATTTCTGAGCTATGTAGTTATGTTGGGGTATGTGTACAGGGTAGGGTGGGTTTGTTTTTTCTTCTCCCACCCTGGGCTTAGGTGGTACACAGTTAGAAATCTTCTGGCCTCTGGCACAGTGGTGTTATTTCTTGCATGTTCTTGGGTGAGGAAATAAATTTGCTCATTGCTGCTCATCAGTCTGTTTCACTTGCTCCCAGACGGTGACCTTCTCATCCCATTTTTGCTTATTTCAACATTCTGACACCTATTTTCTTTCATTGCTCCCTTATATGCTCTAATTTACTAATAATTTCTACAATCTCCAGTTGGAACACAGTCAACTTCCTGCTTCCTTTTATTGACCTGCATTCTGTCTTCTAGTTCATTGCTGCAGATATGAGCCAAGTAATCAAATAAAAATACATAACTAAAAAAAATGTATATTGCAAGAGCCTCCAAAAGCATGGTAATAGTCTAGAGTTTCCCTTTCTTTTTGTTAAACATGTTTTATATCTGTCTCTCTCATGATTTCATCCCATCTCTGTTGGCCTCATTTATTGCTTGACCTTTGGAAGAAATGACTCACCATTATTTTTGTAGGTCTGTAAGCTTTTCTCTATTACTTGTTCTTCACCTTTAGTCCTTAACAATAGTTTCATCTGCTCCATTTATGTGGCTGCAGTGGTTTTTCTTCAAAACTTGGTACAGGTGATATTGATTCAGATCCTGCTCCAGTGTGGCCTGTGTGTCCAACTAACTTCACATGAGAACGGCTGTAATACAGTGATAACTTTTTTTTCCTATAGTTCAAAGAAACTGAATTCTAGTCAGTAATTTTTGTTTGGGTAGAGGTTCTAATTATAGTTTCAGGCTTTTTAATTATTTGAGTTTTAGAGAGGACATTAATTCTTAAAAGCAGACCCCTGTAATATATTTTGCATAACTCTCCTTTGCCACTTACCTTAGTTTTACAATTGTTGTATAAAAGGGGTAACACCCCCATTAGTTCTTCTTAGAATATAAGGAAACACAGCTGCTCCATAAATTGTGCTACCCTAGGTTAACAGTGATCTCTTGAATCTTTAACTTGAATAAAGAGGCTTAAGAAGATATTTAAATATAAAAATGGGGGTGGGGAATCATTTATCAATATAACTTAATCCAGGTAGTATTTGAAGCTTTGAAAGTGAAGTATCTTGTATTTAGTCTGGTTTTTAAAGCTTTTCATGTGTTTCTGGCCCTATAGTTTATGAGATTTGCTTTGGGTACATGGTAAGCTCTATATTTATTGTAGCTTTAAATGGACAGTCATTATTGACTGTCAACTTAGTCTTTAAAATCTATAATCGCATTGTACCTTATTGTCAACCTTCACAATATTTTTGAATTAGGAAAGAAACTGGAAAACTGCAGGACATTAATTTTCTGTTATCTTTTTATTGACTTTATTGAAGTACTACAGAAAATTTTGGTTTTAGATTTTCCCATAATTTACCTTTACAAACCTCCCCCCCAACCTTCCATAAACATGTACAGTTAAAATTGAGTTGTTCAAACACCTCTACTTTGATTTCTAGCCCAGAAAGAAGAAGTTCTCTCTTTGTTTGGCAACAAAATCATTCATTAGTCTTGGGTAGATATTCTATATGTTTATTGTTGTTTGTTATTACTGTTTTTTACTTGAGACTAATAATCTGTTTGAAACTGACTGAGACAGAAAAATGTGATGTTCCTTTCCACTCACTCCAAATTTTGATAGAAGACTTGTTTTATTTATTTCCAAAATTATATCCGCAGGAAACAAGCTGTTTAAATTCAGATTATGCTGAAGCAAAATGGTCCTGGTATGAGAAGCAACGTGCTGTTTTACGAGCACAGAGTCCCTTTTCTCATAACTGATTGATAGTAAATATTTTCCTGAAGAATTATTGCCAACCATGAACAGTGCAACTGTTTCACTTTTTTTCCATGCTACTTGCTGTACCAGCCATTGTCGGTAATTAAGATCTACAATTCACAATGCAGACGTTTGCACTTCCTCTGGGTCTGCGCTATTTATAAGGCATTTCAGCTGTTCCGAGTTTCTTTTGAGTTTTAAACTACATGTTAACAGGCTTCTTTAATACACTGTTCCACAAGTAGCATGTCAGATGATCTGTTCTTCACACAGGCGCTTCTGACAAGTCTCCCCGCTAGCTTTGTGGGGAACCTAGTAAGATTTAACCATATCCTGGGAGCCAGTACGATTGGCCTCCACAATATAACACTTTCATAAATCCAGGAGTGAGTGAAATTCAAAAGTAACATCTTTTCTTTCATCTTTAAACATCCCTATAAATTTAATGGGTTAATTGGCTACAGAAGTTTTGAGAAATACACAATAAAGTGACTTAGTGATGAGAATTTGTATATTTTTCAGATTAAGGATGTGAAAATGCACATCCTCTAGCTGTTCGTGGCTTTTAAGAATACAGACATGGGACACCAAGTGGATCAGCAGATTGACTGCACATTGTTGTATATTCAGCTTCATTAACCATGGTAGACTATAGCACTGATAAGGAACGTATAAACAGAGATCTTTGTGTTAAAATTGGTAACATTCAAATACTTTGACTCCAGAAGAAAATTAATTTTAAAAAAAAGTCGAGACCCATCCAAGACTTGTCATGAATGATGACCTAGACCCAGAGTAACTGTGACTGTGCACAGTCTTGTTGCTGCTGGCACTCATTGTTAAACATACAAGAAAAACAAGAAACTGAAAGCTGTCAACAAAATGTGTTTAAAACTTTGCCTGGAGTTGGGCTCAGCCTGGCTATTTCTAAGCCCGAAGTCTGACTGCATTGATTGTGCACATCAGCCGCCAGCCTCTTACAGAAGAGCAGATCTGTGCAAAAAGGCAGAAAGGA